TCTTAGAAATTAAATTTGATTTTTGTGTCTGTGTGACTTTGTGTTTTTAGGACCTACAGAAAATAAGTGTGAATAAGAAAAGCTGTTTTTTGTGCTCTATGTCACTCATGCTGTGCATGTCCAGTGGAGCTGAGCTACAGTGAGTAAGGCTGCTGGGTCTATGAGGTTGAGCACAGCAATGGGAACTGTGGAAAAAGGGCTTGGGGTGGACCAGGCCAGTGAGACTGTGCTGAGCTGAGACCCCCACCACCGCCCGCGAGCTGCTGGTCTGGGCTGCCGGAGCCTGTGCCCTCCAGAGAGGGCAGCAGGGAGAGAGACGCTGGGCTCCCAGCGGTCAGAGAGTGGGTGTGCGCTGTGTGCCCTCTTCCCTCTGAGAGCCAGTCTGTGATTCCTCTGCCAGGCGGGTGAGGGCTTCGTGACAGACTTGAATTATCCTGTACCTTATCCGCCCCGTGAACAGAAGCGAGCAATAGGAATACTGAATGGAAAGGCGGAGTTTTGTTCCGCTTTTAAGAGACTTGGATTAAGTGCAGTTTCGTTTTCGCCCAGACTGATTTGCTTTTGTTATTTTGCTTCTGTAATCGAGCTTCAATATTTTCAAGTGAGTTACTGTTTTCTTCTGCCCTTGCTGAGCTGGAGTCGCCGTCTAATACAATCTATTTGGAACAAAACTGTATTAACCGATCTGAACGATTAATGCCCTACCGATAACCAGGTACAGAAAAGATAAAAAAACACGATCACATATTAGTATATTTCGGTTGCGCTCATCAAGGTATTATCAATTCGGACACCAGATGTCTGCTTTGTGAATGTCTTCAGAGAAGTGCAACTCGCAATGCTGTTTGTGTTGCACATGGCCGGACTTGGACATTTGGTTCCGAATCAAGGGCTTAACGATTTGTGCAATTAAGACTTTTATTGTCATAACTGCTGACATGAATATTCCAGCATCAGTAAAGAAAGATTCACGATGTTTGTAAATGGGAAGGAACACTGTATATACTGAAACAGAGTTTTCTACCTATTCGTTTGAAAGGCAGCGCTTTTTCTCTGTGAAACTTAGAAAATGGCCTTTGAGAGGTCCAGGGCACCAACACAGAGGGATGCGAAATAAATGTCTCTGTTTTGTACAATCTATGTAATCATATACGATACAAAATAAACCCGATTTTTTTAAAACATTGTATTGAAACAAATAAAAACAGACCCCTGGAGAAAAAAATAGACGTATTCCTTCCTTTTTTTCCAAAATGGAGATAGCGGAGATAGCTTTCACTTTCATGTTGTGACGAAGTTCGACGTGGCTCCGCTGCAAAAATGTTTTTTAGACAACTTCACGGATTTAAATCAGCTGCTCGACTGTGAAATTCAGCTACAGGATTCTGAGCTGTGCATTTAGCGCAGTTATGGAACGGTATTTTACACGTCTGGCAAGTTACGCGTTTTCCTTTTTCTTGACGCCTTTCAGTGCGTTTTTAACGAGATTGGCATATTTAAGCCATTTGAATTAGTCATATTTAATAGATTTTCTGTAAAACACGTCTTATACAGTATGTACATATATATATACTGTATGTGAGTGAATCAACCACGTGGAGATCTAATGGGTAGATTGATTATGCCCAAATACAAACTTTCAGACAACTAGAATACCTGTACATTGAATACATATTTCTTTGTGACAGAAAAAGAATTCAAAAGTGATCGAAAATTTAAAAGTTGTTCTGAAAACTTCAAAAGTATATTCGTGAAAAAAAAGAAGAACAAGTAAAATATATTTAGAAAACATCATACAATAATGAAAAAGGCTTGAAGAAGGCTTCACGGTCGAAACGTTGCGTTTTCTCTGACGCAGCTCCCCACCTGAACTACTTCAATAATATATTACAATAATAGATAAGACTCTGGCTGCTGAAGAAGTGTTAGAAAATGGATAAATTGATCAAAGGACATGTAACTACATGGGTCTGCATTGAAAGGGAATTTTTTTCATTTTTTCTGTGATGTTCTAATTTATTCTCCCTCTGCTGCCCCTGTTAAAAGAATGATGAGGGTAGTTTCAGATGTTTGGATAAACTTCGAATAATAGTGAAACAAGCTGATGAATATAAAACTTTCACTAGAGCCAACAACAGCTCCAAGGGGTGAAGGAGGAATGCCTGGGACAAATGCGAATTGAGGCTGTATAGAGCTAGGTTTCATTATGATGGTGTGTAGGAACAGCTGTGTGAGATTGATTTGACCTTGGTATCCTTCCTGATGTTCAGTGAATAACTTCCAAATAGTGTACTTTTTTCAGCTTGGCTGAGGAAATGAGAGTGCTGGTTGGAGATCTGTGTCTTTGATCCTCACTGCTCTGACCTATTCCTTGTTCTTCCTGTGTGAGTGTCCTGTAGAAAGAAGACACCAATTAAAGTTGCGACTGTATTTGACAGGATGAAAATAATCATGTTATTAATCCGCTGATGTTGCTCTCATAGCTGCAGATAGAAACAGACTAACACCATGTCTTCTTCACAGCTTCACAATGAGGTGCTCCACACTGCTCATCTTTCTGATTGTATGCTGTACAGCAGGGATGATGGTGAATTTCTGTGAGTAATTGTATTCATTGTCTAGTTAGGTGGGGATTACATTTTGACAGTACTTCTGCACTTCAGGACAACATGAATTACAGTAGTAATGGGGGATTTTCCTTTAATTAACTGTCTCTAATCTGAGTTTTTGTGTTAGTGTTTCTTAATCTTGCAGATCCTTTGTATCTGGGAGACGACCAGGAGGAAATAATTAATACTAAAGGAGGTATGTTCTGGAGAAAATTATTTTCCTCTCAAACACTCAGTATCACAAAAACAACAATAATAATAGTAATAATTCCTTACACGTTCAAAGTACTTTTCTGGACACTCCACTCAAAGCACTTTACAGGTAATGGGGAATCCCACTCTCACCACCAATGTACAGCCCCACCTGGATGATGTGACAGCCATAGTGCGCCAGTACGCTCATCACACACCAGCTCTCAGTGTAGAGGGGAACAGAGTGAAATAGCCAGTTTTATAGATGGGGATTATTAGGAGGCCTTAATTGGTAAAGGCCAAAGGGAAATTTGTGCTATTGATAATTGCACACTTATCATGGAGAACTTCATATGCTATTTATTTGAAAGTGTTTCAATAAAAAAGCACCAGTGACAATGCATTTATATTTGTGTAACAGGGTTCGATGTGCTGTGTATGATACTGAAGATAATGTCACCTGCTTGAAAACTAATCAGTGTAGAATTGTGCGGCACCCAAATACCTGGTCTTTTGACATAGCAGAGTTTGCTTTTGTGTCGGGAGTGGCATTTCGTGGCTCTTAGACTGCTTGTGACCATGAACAAGTCCTTGAGGGGCAGAGCAGAGCTACAGCCAAGTTTCCAATCTTGCCAATAAACAGTTTGAGCACATTTGCACAAGGTCATTTTAGAATATATACTAGGGTTTAAACCGTGGTCAGGTGCTGAACTCCTGTGGGACTATGGTGAACCATGTGATGCTGTTCCAAGGCACCATATATTCAATTCCACTGGTATAATGGGAACTTGCCCCCTTATTGATTGAATCATGCTCAACAATCATTACTGATATATGATGGCGCAAAAGCAGCTATTGCATGTTGTCTAATGTAAAGAAAAATCAACAGTGACAGACGTAGTGTTTACAGTTCAGACTTTACTCACAGAAGTTATAAAATATATAAGGACTACTCCCCAAACTGAAAATAAAAGGAGCTCAGGGCAGTCTTTAAGCTGCTGGTCAGTTCCGGTGTGAACACACACAGTTCGCTGTGTTTCCTTCAGCGTCCCTTCATCACCTAGGCAACCACATGCTTCCTCCTGCCCCTGCTGAAGATATAACAGCTCTGAAACCAGGGTCTCCCTGCCAAATGTCCAGTGAGGAAGCAGGCAACTATTACATATTATGCTTTACGGAGTGATTTGAAGAGAATACGTAGGGAATTTCATTATTTCTGTTTTCTTTGTATTAATGATCTCTACTGGTTCTGACACTGCTACTATGAATGTGCTGGATATCTATATTACCATTGCTTCATTCTTTGTGTGATTTATAGGTTTGAGACCCTGGGCGGCATGGTGGTGTCACAGCTATTGGATCCTGGGTATGACTCTGAATTGAGGCTCCTTCTGTGTGTATTTTCTGTGCCCACATGGGTCTTCTGTGGGTTCTTTGGTGTTCTTGTCACCTTTCATAGGCTTGCAGGCTGGGGTAATGGGTGCCCCTAAAATGTCCGTATGTGTGTGTACAATGAAGTGGTGTCCCATCTAGAGTGTTGTCCCATCTTGCTCCCCGTGCTCCTGGGTTTGGCTCTGGGTTACCAGGAATCGTCCAAGTGTCCAAGGTACTAACGCTAATAAATCTCATACAGTTTTTACATAATGATAGCCATTGCTGAACTCGTGGATCCTGGAGTATGAAGTGAATTTGTTGGATTTATTCTGCTTCAACAAATATCATCACATATAAACATTTTTATATGGATTTTATTATTTGTTTCCAGGTTTGGCACAAAATAGTAGTCACTGGTTTTCCAAGGCCTTGACAGATTATTTGCCAAATTATGAAGGTAAGAGTTATCAAAATGCTTCCATTTAGTATGTTCTTACAATTGAGGGGCTTCCTGCAGTTTTCCATAAAACATTGTGACATCCCAGGCTCTTCAAAATAGGTGGCTCCAGAACACCAGACACACCAAACACAGAAATAAGGTACAAAGACAGAGCAATATGTTTACAGTATGAGAGAAACAACTTACTAAACACATCATCCGAAAACCTATCTCATTTGTGAGCTACTAGCTAGACTTCCACATGCCAAACTAATATACTGGGCTGTTAAGCTACTTACAAAAAGAACTCAGTCTCTCCCTCTCTGACACTCTGAAGAGTTTAAAACTCATCCGTTCCTCAGGTCTAGGATTGTCCTTCTGTCTCAGGGGAATGGAGCAGACAGAGCATCTGCTTTCTGTCCACCATTGGATCAGCCAGCCCTGGAAACCTTTTCTTCCTGCCTTCTGCACTCTTATTATAAAAACAATTTCATTTCGAGGAGGCTGAACTTTGTTCAAAATCAAGTTTTAAAAAGAAAGAATGGTCTCAGTGACAGTGCAGAATACACTGCTAATGATAATGTATTTTGGACCCCATGATTACTGTTCTTCAACTCTTTCTATTCCTATTCACTTGTCCAGGTATGAAGACTGAAGAAGGTTTGCCTGTATGGTTAGAGCCAACAGTAATTGGATTATTCCTGTATATTTTTCTCGTTTTTTGTTGCCTTTGGATTTTCTGCAGAAAGAGAAAGCAAGGTAAATTTTACTATGTCAATAGAATGCATATTTTCCAGTCTAACATTATAAATGAGCAAATCTGTATTATTCAAGTAATCACCATAGTAACTGTATATATGACACACCCACATAGAAACATTAGCAGTATGCCTCTTCTGTGTCATTTTACCTTGTGATTATATTGGCCTGTTGAACTTACAGTATATATAATTTATATACTGTATAAATATATAAATGTTTTTTTTCTCATTTAAAAGAGAAACTGAGATGCAGGTTAAATTTTTTTTTGTACACAACCACTTTGTTCCAATAATCATTACTATTACAGAGCAGTTTTCAGATCTGCGAATTTAATGTTTGCAAATTCACTTATTTGTGATTCAGTCTGGCTGATGGGGTCAAGTGGAATGAAACCGAGCTGGAGGTTGTTAAACTCAGTTTTCAGAATTGGCTCCACAACAGACTAGGATCACGAGACTAACCTAGCTAGTGAGTGAGCTTTTCCCTGCCTCCTGCCCAAGTACCCACTGCCCAGAATGCAGGTTTCAAAGTAGTCTTGTGTTTGTATTTCAGTGAGCTCTCCAGGTTGTGTGTTGGTGGTGTGGGAAGTGACAACAGTTTTATTGTCCTTTTCATTACAGTGAGCATACGAATCATGGATCTTAAAGCCAATGCATTATTACTTTAATTATCATGTAAGGGAGGATTCTGTCTTTTAAGTTAACTGTATACTGTAGTGCACAATGCAACAGTGTAGGGGTGGACTTGGTAATATGCAAATTTGTCTATTCCAGTTAACCTTTCATAACGCTTTTATAGGAAGACTTGCAATGGAGTAGAATAGAAGTTTTATTTTCCCCCTGAAAGATTAGTTACTTATAATCATATATAAATTGTTTTTTTTATGTCAGTGCTAATGTAGTGTGGTTTTCTTAAGGAACAAAGCATGTTTTTTTCAAATATTTTTCAGGTGATGCACAGGGTTACTCCCGTCTCCCATCAGGTACAATTACCAAATACCATGACAGATATTTAAAACAGCACTAACCTGCTAAACATAGAAAGAATCTTCCCGAACACGTTTTAGACTGTTTGGCAGGCAGACTGTAAGATTTATCTTTCACTTTCAGGTGGAGATTTTTACCACATAGTAAAACAGACCAGCATGCATATGTAAAATACATTTATATTATATTTGACCAGGTAATTAAAAAATACTACTGTCTGTCTTCACTTACAGGTGTGGAGGAAAAGGAGAGAGAAAGTGGTGGTAGGTACTGTCCTCTGTTAAATGAAGAGTACTTAATGGAATTAGGTAATACTGTATATTTAAAATGAACTGTGTCAATTATCTTACTCTAAGGAGTATAGTCTGCAAAATATTGCAACTAAACAAAAAGTTGCAAGTTTATACATACGCTAACAGAAATGTGCAAAGAAAATTTGCCATGGTTTACATTTTTGATGATATAACTAAAATCCCAGTAAATGTCCTAGCATTATATACAGACAGCAGTGTTATATTGCAATTTACAGTACATTGGCAAAGTTTCAGTTAGTGTCCATGGCTATAAGCAGACACCCATTTTCAAACCATTTCGATAATTCTACTGCCACATCATTCACTTGGTATGTCTTCCTTATAACTAGCATCCGTTTGAGAAATGCAAAATTGCTTTACTACAGTGCAATAATTCACAGAATGTGTTTGTGCATCAGTGTAATATGTATTATATATATATACTGTATACTGTATAGTAATGTCCAATATGTTGAAAAAATCCAGTACAGTACATATTTTTTTAATTATCCTTTATCGTCTGTCTGTGTGCCCTTGCGACACTTACCTGGACAAAAAATAAGAATAAAGAAATATAGGAAAGAGGTGAAGAGGTCATATGACCCAACTAGTTCAAGAGTTCACTTAATTGCTAAGACGATGTCATCCAACCATTTTTAAAAGATATCAGAGCATTAGCTTCAGCGACATGGCTGGGTAACTTCTTCGTGACTCCCACAACATCACGTTCATAGAACTCATATTTGACATATTTCATTCCTTTTCAGTAGTGTGAGTACTGTACATTAATTCATACATTAATTAAATCCATTTACCAGTGTTTTTAGTTGGTGAACATTTATGGATAATATAGCTAAATGTTTGCTGAAGAATGTATTGTACTGTTTCGTAAACCTTTGTTGTCAGTATTTCTAGAGAGGAGAATAACAGTACTTGAACAACAAATTACACAGCTGCGTGATGATAACAGTAAGTATTTTTTACAAAAATGTAACTGGGTAAAATGTGTAAGTCAATAAACGAGTAGCAGATATCTGAATGAGAAATTATAATTTTTTTTTTTTTCTTTTTTTTACCTTGTTGTTTTATTTTTTTTTTTTGAACTTTTCTTTGCCCCTTACTCATAAAAAACCCTGAGTGTCTACATCTGCTATGAGGTTCTTGTTTGAACAATCAGCTGATAAATTGATCAAGACATTGTAAGACCTTCACAGTTCTGCTGTGGCATATATGTGTAATTTATTACATTCTATCAGTTCTTACAACCGTTTATAGTATGTGTTATTGAATGCTGTATATATGACTGTAAAAATGCAGAGTTGTTTTTTTTTCTACATTTCATTTCAAACTGAAAAACTCAGTTCTTGATCAAATCTTTTTTGATACAGTGGTGTCATTGAGCATCAGTGTTTTCTGGTCACTGTTGTTTCCTGTTAAATGACATTTACATACTGGTCTCCATGTACAACAATAGTTATTAAAATCCATCCATTCCATTTATGAGGGTAATAATCAGGAATGAATTGTAGATTGGAGTGATTGGGAAGACATTTTTCTTTCCTGATTACTATGGCACAGTTATTTCCATAAGGGTTAGCTGGCTTCAGCATTCTATTGCACTGTTTTTAACTCTTGTCGTTTGCATTTGTAGAGAGAATAACAATGGTTGAACAACAGATTAAAGAGCTCATTGATAATAAAAGTAAGTAGTATACTATTTAATATTTTTCACAGTATAGCATCATTAACTGGGTGATATTAACGTCTGTAACACAATTTTGTAGTCATATGAGCAGATTTTACACTTTCTCTTTTGGTAATATAGAACTTTTTGATGCAGCAGTGACATTGTGGATCATTTTTTTTCTGATCACTGTTGTCTTTTGTTTTTCATATTTGGCCCACAGATTTATGTGAAAAAAATCTACAGCAAAAAATCTATTATCATTGTTGGTAGAAATAGAGTTGACCTGTAATGCCTGCACTACAGAGTGCTCTTTGCTCTGTCCTCCTAGAAAATCGCCCCTTATGTTTGGCCCAAGGACAACTGGCAGTTAAATCACACCAAATGAATCTGTCTAATAGAATAACAAGGGTCTCAGTTCAAAATCTGTATTACAGAACAATTCTTGACAAGGTGTCATCTGAATTTGACCATTTTTAATTATAGTTATTAGTTGCCTTAAATTCAACCATTCCATTTATAAGGGAATTAGGCAGGAAAGAAAAGGAGGTATAGGGATTGGAGTAATTTTGAAGAGAGTTTTTAGATTTTTCATCTTCCCTGATTATGGCACAACTCTTTCCTGCTGCCTTCTGATGGTAATAAATTAAATTGCAATACAGCAGCATTTTGAAAAGTGGGAATAAACGTTAGTGTCAAGTCTCATAACACCATCTCATTCTTGGTAATAATCAAGAATGAGGTGGTGTTATAGCAAGAAATGATTCCTTGATCTAAACCTGATTCTCATGAATATATTCTGTACCAGAGGGCCTTGGGCTGAAGTACATTCAGCTTTCTTGTTCTATCAGTGGAATCTATCACTAGAAGCTTCTATCACTAGAAGCCACATGTTTTTGCATATCTAGTGATACTAACACAGCTTGAAGATGTTTAAAGATCTCAGTGATGATAAATGTACTGGTGTTGTTTTCTGTTCTTAAAAAATATTATCATTGACATTTTGCTTTTCAATATTGAAAAGAGGTACATGTATCAGTCTTTTTTCTTTTGCTTTAATGAAGTCTTTATTATGACTCATAACTACAGCTGCAGCTTAGTTTTACATCATGTTCTGACAGAGGAGTTTATCTAATGTTTATGTATTATATGTATTTCCCAGTGGAGTCCCAGTGGATGTTTCACGTCTTAAATCTTTTAGACAGCTTTAAATTGCTGTAGTTTGAAGGCAATTGCTCTTGGTGGCTCTCCAAGTTTACCAATATACACTGTAAAAACTGTATTGACAGATACTGTAACTTAACTGGTAATTTAACACAGGGTGTGTTGTTATATGTGCCTTGCTTTGAATGGCATCCCATTCAAGGTGTACCCTGCCTTGCACCTGTTACTTGCTATGATAGGCTCCTGCTACCCAGCGACCCTGAATTGGATGAAACAGTTAGAAAATGGATAAATGAATGGTTAGATAGACAGTCTTATGATATTAACAGCATATCATTTTACAGCATTCAATCAGCAAATTATATGTACCTTATTGCTAGATGCTAGATTGTTCTTGAGCAAGTTGTAATTCCCAAATCTGCCCATTTCACACCATGGTTTGCTGTTGGTGAAGACAACAGAGCCTGAACATGAACAAGCTTTACACTAGCAATAGGGTTACTATTGATAAGAGTATACAGTATATTGCAAATCTCCTCCATTTCTGATGCATTTGTCTGGATCTGCTTCCACTTGTTTGTACATTCCATCCATCCATTGTTGAGCTTGAAACAGTGCTTTGGGTTGGTTTGGATTTCTTTTTCAAGGTCTTTAAACAAAGAAAAAAGTAGGAGTTCTCTAGACATTCATATATTGTCTGTATTAAATCCTGTTGTTAATTACTGGTATCTGTTTACAGGGAGCATAAATCAGGGTGAAGGAGATGTGAAAAGGAGGGATAAGGAAGATGGTAAGAACTGAGATGTTCACAATTCAGTCTCATGATTGGGATTTTTAAAAGCGTATATTCTGTTGTTTTTCCCCCCAAATGCTCGCATTCTTAATTTCTGTACCCAGCAGCCTGTTTTGCTGTTGAACCTGAACTGCTCATTTGGAATGAATTTGTCAAAATCCTTATCAGAAGTTATTTGAACGCAAGAACTGAATCTCTTCACAGTCTTTTTTATGAAAGACTGAGTTTCATCCCCTTTTGCCTCTCTATATATTAGTCCACTTTCATTTACCACAGGGCTTTTCCTGGTGTATATTTCGCTGTCATTTGTTTAGGACTTTTTCAATTCTGTTATTAACTCTTGATGTTTGAATTTGTAGAGAGAATATCAAAGCTGGAACAACAGGTTAAAGAGCTGTGTGATGACAAATGTAAGTAGTGTACTATTATCTGTGTATTTAATCTTTAAGCTGAGTAATAGAGAAACAAATGCCTTAGTTCAAAAATCATATATGAGAGATCAATACATTCAGACAAAATGACTCCTCTCATCAGTCATCTGACCAAAGAAACTAAGATCCTTTGTTATGCAAAGTGCTCAAGAGGGAGAGAGAAGGACTGCAAAGATATCAGACCAAGACTTACTGCAGTTGTGTATCTGGTTATCAGATTAGTTGTGCTATAGTGAGAGCTGTGAAGACATTTGATTTATTTTCTTTGTTTTTGAAGAAAGGACGAGTATACTCCAAACCTAGGTGAATCAGTAACTGAACTTAGTAAAGATGGGGTCTTTCTCATATGAAATCACACCTCTTGATGTAAAAAAAGGTGTTTTTTCTCTCTCTCTTGTTTACAAGAACAAGTAAAGTGTCTATACTTGTGTGAATTAATGGAGGCTTTATCTCTTTCAGACATCCAGACAGTGAGATGTTCCATGACAGGTATTTTATTTTGCTTTGAACAAATTTGATTGATTTTAATTTAATTCTACAGTACATACTGTATTTACTTGAGTGAAAGTTGAGTTATTTTCAATTTTGTGAATTTAATTGTAAAACAATTTGGCATTACGGCCGTCTGGAAAAGCAGTAAGACTTTGGACTCTGAAGTGGAATTTTAGGGTGGTGAAGCAGTTAGCATTGGTGCCTGGGTTCAATTTTGGATCTGGGGTGCTGTCTTTGTGGAGTTTGTGTGTTCTTCCCATGTTTTGTGGTTTTCCTCCTGGTGCTCCTGTTTTCTCCCACAGTCCAAAAACACACTAGTAGGTTTGTTTGTGTCTCTGTGTGCCATGAGATGGATTGGTGTCCTGTCCACAGTATACACTGCCTTGTGCCTGTTGCTTGGTGGGCAGGATTGCAACTCTCTTGCAACCCATTACTGGAAGAAGTGGTTAGAAGATACAGTAGGTGGATTGATGGAACTGGAAGTTTGTTGGTTCAAAACCCAAGCAAAATACTGCTGTTTTACTCTTTCACCTGGATTTTGTAGGTAAAATACAAACTTTATGAATGCATTCAAATGTAGACTACTTTGGAAAAAAGAGTTAGCCACATTCATTGCAATTGTCAACAATGCAGCAGTATGGAGCAGTAGTAAGGACTCTGGATTCGGGGCTGGAAGATTGTGGGTTTAAATCCTGGGTGAGTTGCTGCTGCATTGAATATGCAGAATCAGCCACATCAGTTATTAATGTTATTAAAAGATTATTTAGAAAAGTGCCTGTAACGAACAGTTCTTTCCGGACCCTATGCGGACGACACAATCCGAAGAAGTGGGAAACACTGGGGAAAGGTCATGCAGGGATACGGGGCTGAAAACAGGGGGGCGTGTCCAAGGTGCGCTGGTGCACGGGGGAGGTGTGGCCGAGGCGAACAATCCAAAAGAGTAGTCCTTAGAGAGTATCCAAAACAGAAAGGTAAGTCCAAAACCAGGAGATCCATCAAAACGCGGAATTAAAACACGAAGGCCGGGTCAGAACCGGCGGACAGGGAACAGGAACGGGAACGGGAACAGAGATTAAAACCTTAACGGGACCAGGCGCTTCCAGGTCCCGGACTCGCACGATATGGAAATCAGCTGCAGAGCCCGGATGAGGGTCAGCGCCTGGCTTTTAAGGTGGGCTGGGAATAGGAAACAGGTGCACAGAATAAAGTCTCACGTGAAAGGGCTGGAGCACCCTTAAGGAGGGGGGACTATAATCGTGACAGTGCCGGTGTGAGTCTAGAACTCAGTTGTGTGTAGACAGATGACATAAGGGGGAGGGACCAACAATCAAAACATTTAGATTTGCGGAATGTTTTACTTGAGAGGTTGTCTAAGTTCCTCAACAGTACTCCAGTACTCCAGTTTACCCAAATCAAATTTGTATATCAAAGTGAAAGAAAATGGTCTGGAGAATCTAGTTTCACCCAAGGCTTCTAGGCAAATCTCTACTTTTGTGAGATTGTGGTTATTGTGAGAGTTAGCCAACGTGAACTTTAACAGTATCTCTTTATCTCAAGCTAGATACTGTACGGTTACTCCAATGGACGTGGGCAAATGTTAATATAAGTAATATCTCCAGGAATTAACTTAAAACAAATGAATTTTGAATGAAAAGCAATGAATTTATAATCATGATAAGCATCCTGTGAGATTATTGACACCTGCTGTAGGTCTGTGTACCTTCATCTGCATGTACAGTAAATCTGAGTACCATCACCATAACCGTTAAAGTTTAGAATATGGAAGTGTGTGATTTGATCATGAGGTAATACAGATCCTTGAAGGAACAGGGCCCATAACTGGCCCGTGTGGGACACCAGTAATCACTACAAAGTGTCTTAGGTTGTTCTTCCTACTGTCATTGACTGAAGGGAAGCAAAACATGAGGTGTCACATGTTAAACTGTATCAGGTCTTTATTGCCTTTCTGCTTTACAACACATACTATAGATTCCAATAACTCTAGTATTGGCGCACTGTCTTTTGAACATTAGAGACCATCTTTGAGAATTTCATGAGACTTAAGTCAGTAAAGTTGTCATTACAAACTAAGTGGAGTATAAAGCCATGTATTAAAATCACTTGATTTTATGCATGACTTTCTTTCACTTCTTCAGACAAATTCCTGTTAAGAAGTATTCCGATTACTATAACAGTATTTGAATACACATGCAATCAACAAGCACACAAGTGAAAAAGCGAACATATTGTGAAAGAGAATTTATCAATTTCTTTCATTGTGACAGTGACAGTATGAAAGTGTTAGGATTAGGATTTTGTTTCACTCAGCCAGTACAAGAATAAACAGT